TGGAAGGAATAAATTAATAAATAACATTTTCACATCTCTGGAGTTGGTTTTCGGATGCACCACATGTTCAGGAAAGGTTGAACGAGTGCAGCCCCTTGCAAGAAGTCTGCCAGTCTGGTATGACCCCTTAATTAATATTGAAGGGTCAGAGATGCGAGTGTCCTCGTAAGGTCCAGAGCGTGCAGTGGACGCAATTCTCGGTGAGTAGATTCTCAAGGCATGAAGGCAAGCGGAAATATGTTTTTCTGGTTAGTGTATCAAATATGTTTATTTCCACTTGATTACATAATTATTGATTCTTAGGAAATGGTTCCATAACGAGTTCTTTCTGCGACAGTCTCGTGTCAGGCGTTCAGTCGTAGTACCTGTGGACCTTGTTGTCGGATGACGCTCCTGGCACGTCGGTGTTCAGTTTGGTCGAGTGGCAACTTTGACCGACTGATGCTGTCTTGTAATCATACGTCATGTGCGGCCACCGACGTCTGATGCACTGAAGCTGCAGGGCTGGCTTCTAATCCGAAAATTTTCCTGGTAGTTTTCGGCATCAATGCAGCAAGCTCGGGCATGTATTGCTTACGTGGCTGTGCCTTTTGCTGTACCGTTGACTTGATAGCTGGCAACAATTTTTGTTTGCTATCCAAGTCTGGTGATGCTTGCAGTTCACTTTTGAGAGCAACCAACCATTCTATTCCTTCAAGTCACTCAGGGGCATTCTCCCTCAAAGTTGGAAATTGTGTGCTTCGTGGAGTGGACACAGAAAATTGATGTCAGCAAATTTTTAGGTATTGTCCTTGGACGACAACCAACACCAAATCCACTGTCACTGCATCGCCGCTCACCTGCTTTGTCGTGCTTACCTCTTGTTGAGGTGATGGACATGAGGAGCTTCGGGGTAATCAGGGATTCAGAATCTTCGATTCAGCACCTTCGGCATCAGGGACAAAGGTCGCCGAAGGTAATCCTTAATCTCCCGTGGTCGCTCCTCGAGACGTAATCGAGGGTCGTTTGGCACGAACCATCGCAGACCAATTCATTGGTACGGGCTGCTTTGGTAGACATGGTCGGCTTCATGCAGTGGAAGCAAAGCGGTTTTCGGTCGCACATTCGCATCACCTACGTTTTCCTCGGTGTGCTTTGTTAAGCACAAACCTACACACGATGTCGGGAATGCTTCGGCATTAGAGTGTCTCATTGAATTGGCATTGAATACTAAGAGGCAGCCGGTGGCGGTCGTCGTGCCATTGTGGCGTAAGTTGCCCTTAGTTTGTCAGATGCCGCTTCGCTCGCAGAAGTCTCGGTTGAAATACCTGTCAAACTTGTTCCGAAACAATCTCGGCAATCAAAATAAAAGCCAGGCAACTGATGGCAGGAAGTAGCTTCCTGATCTCCTCCCAGACAACGTCGTGGATGATGTCGTGGATGCCTGGGAGGCTGGCGTCGAAGTAGTAGCTGGACAACTCGAGTGTCGAGACGCCGGGAAGTTGTTCATAGTGGCAGGCTCGGGCATGCAGTGCACATTCCATGTTGGAAGCCTCGGTGATATGAACACTTCGACTGTTGTTGGGGGTTGCGGACAAGGCTGCCGAAGGTGTTGTCCCTCCCGTGAGGGGCATGGGATTCTTAGGTTCTTGTCTTCTGTAGCATCAAGGTCGGCGTGGGCGTGGGCGCTCGATCAAGCGCAAAACATCCTCCACGAGTGCGGTCGCGCTCTCGTTGGGGCAGTGTCCTGGACAGAATCAAGAATGCGGCTCTCTCTCGTTGATGTTGGCTGACAAATGCGCGCTTCAGCTCGATCTTGCAAACTTCCCATGACGTTAAGGAGGATCCATGGTTCTCAGACCAGCGCCGGCAGTTTCTTCCACGAGAAGTATAGGTTTTGCAGGAGCTGGTTGTCTGTCCACCCAATGTGGCGGGCGACATTGTCATATTGTTCAATCCAGTCCTTGACGTTTTCATACACCTTGCGTGAAAAAGCGTCGGAGTGTGATTTGCGACAGGCATGGAAACAATGGTGGGAGGGGACACGGTTTGCTGCTACAGGTTTGTCATTGTTGGCTTAGTCAGCTTCGGATTTTCTGACAGGAGACCGAATTCCGGTGGTTTTTCCTGGTAGCAGCAACTGGCTCGGATTTCAGGTGCTTCGTGGTGTATTTCCGAGGTTACTTTTTGTGGTATTCGGTCGTCTTGCGGTTGTTCTGCCAGGATCGGGTCAGGACTTTGCTCACGGCTCGACGGGGGTGTAAGACGCAGGATAGTCCGCCAGCCGTGTCCCATTATCGAGTAACTCGGCTGAAGAGCCGCCGGGTTCACACAGAGTGAAGGGCTATGGGTGCCCAGCACCTCCACCAGAACATACGATTACTGCTGAGCATGACCTGCAGTGCCCCAGAATAGTGAATATTGATAGAAGCTAGGACTGGAACAAGGATCCGTGACAGTATAACAAAACTCGCAGAAGAGAATCTATCCTGACCACTGAAGAAGCTGCATTGCTTTAGTGGCATTCTGTCCGAATAAATCCTCTCCTTCGGGGTTTGGCGACTGCCGTGGACGAACTGAACTGAAATGGATGTGGGACCACTTTTCTGGTAATGAGCCACTGCAGACTGTTGCCACAAAGCGGCGTGAGCTGGGTACGTAACACGCTCGATGCAATGTCCGGACAGCTTGCAATTCGCGTAACGAGTGTGGATGAAACGTTTGTGTTGACGAAACGTGCGACAGACCAGCGGGATCAATACCAACTGCAACACCTGTGCTCCGTGAAAGTGCACGTCTACGCCGGAACAATTTCGGAAGCAGCACAGCATCACCTAAAGCATGGCACAGGAACTACCAGCTTGAAGGCAGCTCTTCGGTGCGCCGCACACCTGTGCTCCGTGAAAGTGCACTTCTACGCCGGAACAATTTGTAAGCAGCACAGCATCATTCAGCACGGCACGGGAACTACCAGCTTCAAGGGAGCCTTCCGGTGCGCCGCACAACCGAAGTAAGCCCTCGGTCATTTTATCGAAGCTGCACCACGATTGCACACCGCCAAGCACTACTCACGCAATTTCCGTCGCTAAACTGTGTATCCAAATATATTGCACACGCTTCACTGAAAACCTCGAAGATTCCGATGGTCAACGAGAGCACAGAAACGTCGCCTTAAATTTTATCCTAGCGGTATCCGAATCAATCCGAGGTCCGAGCAACGTAGGTCAGATTGTCTCTTCCGTGGCAATATCCCGGTCGGTCACCAGCGAAATGCACACCGTTCCTCCGTATTTTCACGTTATACCTACGTCAAACACCACGTTGAACTCTGAACTCGCTTTCGACCGGCCTCATATGACGGCTTCCGCGTCTGAAATCAACTCGCCGAGACGAACGACAACCAACAAAGCATCCGACAAGCTCCGGCCCAGCTGGGGCCAGCCGCTGCATGGGCGCTGCCATCTTTCCTGTGACGTCACGTATTTGGTTTGGTCATGTGACGTGTGGTCAAATTTGCGTACAATGGCAGCCTCCTTATGGGGGTCACTTTCGAGTGCAGACCGGAACCCCGGTTTATCGCTCTAAGCCCCTCTACCTCGTTGGTGAAAACCCGCAGAGCAAGTTCGGCGGAGTTTGGGGCGCTCCGTGGAGCGGGCGCTGCCAGAGTACGAGCGGAAGATGACCAACTTGAGCCAGATCTGCGAGCGGAATATGCGCGCTCCAAATGGAGCGCTTTTGGAGCGCTCGAGATCTGCGAGCGGAATTCACCATTAAGGCAGCAAATGGCGGATGCGCCGTGCGTCTTCCCTGCGCACGTTGCGTCCTACTACAGTGCGGAGGAGCTACCGTAGCAAGTTCTGGTGCGCTGCCCCGGCCCTTAATAAATAACGCACTCCCAGCCGTCAAAGTCGCATTGCATGTTTGTCTTTCGTCTCCTTATATGTAACAAATTATTATGTTCTGAGCTAGATAAGAACGTTTTGCGACGTGCCCAGGGTCAGCATCATGCACAATATTAATGTATTCATCCCACTTCTGCCTCGGCGCTGACTTGAGCGCGGTTTTTACAGCAGAGTAAAGCAATGTCAAATAGAGCAGCTTCCGGCTTTGTAGACGACAATACGAATCAAGAGAAAATCCTACTTTCTACGCAAACACTCCTGTCTGTAACAGACGTCCAAGCCAGCGGAGCGGCAGAGGTGCAATAAATGCACTAATATTGTGCGTAATGTCAACCCTGAACACGCAACGAAACGTGTTTATCCACAGCGGAACATAATAATTTGTTTACTGTAAAGAGAGGGAACACAAATCCGCAATTTCACTGTGACGGCTTTATAAAGCGCACGGGCAGCGCACCATAAATTGCTAAGACGGCGCCTCCGAACTGCAGCGGCACGCGACGAGAGCAGCCAAGACGAACGGCGCACCCGCTGTGTGATCCAACTTTGTTATCAGAGCGAGCGAGACGCGAGAGCGGAGTTCACCGTCGATCTTAAAAATCTCGCAGCCAGTGAGTGCCAACGATAAAGGCTTGTTCACACACTTGCAACCGGGTAGGACCAACTGAGACAAGACCGGTTTTTAAGTGTCTTGCGAAGCTTAAAACCAGCTCATCAACATCGCCTCCGGTGCTAAGCTGTCGAAGGTTGCCTAAAACACGGTCTTGGTCCTTCGCGGTTGCAAGTGTGTGAACTGGTCTTAAGAGCGGTGCTGCACGGGGGCGAGTCCGCGCCGGCCACGCGCGCGGTGCGTTTTAAAGTTTAAAACAAGACTGTACTAACCTGTTCTAGCACAACGTGGGCCGTCGTTCTGACGCCATCTCGTAAAGTTTTCTTTTTTTTTTACAAGTTTTTGCTGCATGTGAATATTGCTAGAAACGACAGCAGAGTTACTCAAATTTTAGCAAAAGTCAGTTGCCGCTGGGAACAAAGCGTATTCAATGGGCTTGAATCAATTCCCTGCGTGATCACGTTTAAAGAAGGACATTTTTGGAATAAATGAAGGTATAAATTACCAACCTGAGTCTCGGTTCTTAAAAACCTTCAAAAGCCTTGCTTCAGCAGAAAACCAAAGAATGAATGAGGCGAATGCCAGCGCTCCGACAATAATCCTCATGTTGGATTGTTTAGAATTGCAGAAGGCAAAGTATTTTGCTTACTTCATGAACACCTTTTTATGTATGTGCGATGCGGAAGACCCCAGAACTTTTCATTAGTAAAAGCTTCAAAATATGCAGCAGCTGTGGTCATTTCCGTCTCTATAACGGTTTCTTTTGATTTGTTTGGTGTATTTTGTTCAAACAATGACGTCTATTTAAAAGGAACTTACGTTGATAAACGTGTCCAGGCGGAAGTATATTTCATATATATAAAAATTACATCCGCGTTCGTTGACTTTATAAGAACTAAAGTTTTAGATATAAGTAGATATCTTAAGCATTCCTACTTTATCCGCACCGAATCTATGGTACTAATCCTCCAATAAAATAATTCAGTTAAGGAAACTTTAACATTATTCATCAAGTAATGAAAAGCTTGTTAGCCAATCTATGTTTATACTACGAATAAAAAAATTGATGTTGGTGTTAGTATTACTTTGTCATGAGAGTCTAACAACTCTCATGTTCGTCAAATACACAACAAAGCGATAAAGTTTACACATTTTGTTAATTTTTTTTATTGTTTCCGTGATGTTCTTTAAGAAAAACGTAAAACCTACATCATTGCGGCTTGTGCACGTGAGCTGAACGACGAGGCGCAAACTACGCTAAGAGGTAATTCTTCTAAAAGATGAGTAATTAACTAACATTCGCTAATTAACTTTCTATTAGAGGATATAGAACGCATGTTTAGACTGGGAAATTGAACCCAATAGAAACATCTTATATGTATAAGAAATGTCTTGGTCCAATAGACGCATATAATCAAATACGATCATATAAGACCATACAGGAACCCTATGAGAGCAATGTTGTATGCTCTTACATGACCTTATTTGACGATATGTGTTTCTTGGACCAAGAAATTTCTTATACGTATAAGATGTTTCACTAAGGGAGCCAGTCTTAGAAGTTCTGAATCGAGCGCGGAGTGCGAGCTATCCATCGCCAAAATTTACTCTGAAAACTGTCCCAAGCCAAAACCAAACATTGGACGCGCTCCGGTAGGACAATCCCTGTTTTGACGGGAGGCCCACTTGGTTATGACGACATTTCATACTCTTCTTTTTCATGACAGCGCGAAAGAGTTGATAGCAGTAGGCGCTCCAAGGCTGGTCAGATAATGTGATAAATCAACTTACAAACCATGACAATATTTTTTTTTGGTGTTGATATTTTAAGCTGTTTTGAAAGTGGAAAAATAATACTGAAGAGCCGCAATGAAAAGCAACTTGTCACGTTCGCTAAGTTAGTTTATCGCCTCTTATGGACACCCTAATGAACTACGTGGGCCTCTGCTACGATGCGGGGGTTGCCCTTCCGGTGCGCTTTGGGGATTTGGTTTCGGTTTCAGAAAGTTTCTAGAGTAAACTTTGGCAATGGGCAGCCCGAACTCTTTCCTCGATCCAGGATTTCTAAAAACTTGGCTAGCCTTCGATATTCACTACCTCCGATTTTGCAATACAAACATTTTCTCTAAATCCTGTAATTAAATTGTTATTTTTTTTTACTTTTAGTTATTACTCGTTTTAGGCGCAATATCTCTTTAACATAGTGTCCAGCTGGCCGTATAACTTTTCTGCACAAACCGCAAAACTGTATGTTTTACTGCTTTTATGAAACTTTTGTGAATAATAATAAAAGACAACTGTATATAATTGCCTATTTTTGTGATTTGTTTCAAGATTATGAACTCCTTAACTACTTTTCAAGCTAATTAATGTAAAATATAAGGGACTGTGAGTGCGATGGTCTAATATATTAGTAACTTGTGGACCTTAATTAACTTTCAGATTATTTTTTTTTAATTCTTAAAAGCTGTTTGTCACCTGTTTTAATTAAATTCTTTTTATTCTGGTGAACGTACGAATATATTTTACTGAGGAAACAAATGGACCCATAGCCAATCGGCTAGTTTGGATATTAAATTAAGCCCTCTGAGGCGTAGCGTGCAAAACAAAGGCTAGTAAGTGTATGAGGAAGTACTACAAACAAAAATATACAAAAACGAAATGAGATGAAATATACAAAACGCTTATCTAATTATAGGAGCAATAAAGATTATTTAAAACAAGAGGATGGTTATGAGGGTGAACACGATTTGAGAAACCAGAAGGTAGTGTTTTAGATCTTCACTTAAGTTATGTGGAGATCAAATATCCTTACCCAAGTAGCACAACACATCGCGCTGGGGCCGGAGGGGTCTTGTTCAGACTTGTGCCTATCTCAAATACTCTACTCAAGATACGGTACGTATTTCAGATACTTTTTGAAGTATCCTGGTATCTTGCAAATACTTTTGATCGAGAGTATTTTATACTCTATTCTAAATACAATTCCGTGTATTTGGTACTCATTATTTGAAATACATTTTTGACATTCCGTCATTTTTCGAGTTTTTCGGTGGGAAGTGGCTAAGGTGACTTTCGTTGGGAAACCCCTTTGGTTAAGCTCGTAAGAAAAACATCATTCTTTTGCGGATTGTAACTCATATTACAGATTGCGACTCATATTACAGCCTAAAGTTTGTACAATGAAGGTTTTTCCCCTTGCCTTCCCAAAGGCGCTTTTTGTTTCCTAGAGTTTCCCCCAAAAAGTCCTCACACAAATGGGGTGGTTTTACGGAACTTAGGATTGGATGCCACACTGAGGCGCGACGCAGACCGGGAAACGACATACGAGAAGAATGCAGAATTGAGTGTCAAGAAAATTACAAATAAAAGAATAAGAAGTGCACAGAAACAAAAAAAAAACGAAGACATTTTTATTTTTCCTGTTGTGTATCTGACCCCCCGTACGGCAAAACGTCTAGGCTTCCTTTTGTTTATTTTCTTTTGTCGTCAGACCGTCACTTATTGCTTTCGCGAACAATGTCTGTAAGCGAACATTCAAAAGCGGAGAATAGGACAGGAAACGAACTAAATGTTGAATGACCTCTTAAAATCCCAGCAAAGCGCCTCCCAACGCTGAGCGACCACTGCCGATGGCTTTTATGTGGGTTCTCTTTGTTATCCATTCACTCATATTCGTATCCCAAGTTCGTTTATAGTGAACTCCCATATAGGGAGTATGGATTATAGTTAAACGATGCGTCTAAGGTGCGCCGCAAGACGTGATATTCAGCGATGTCTAAAACGACCTCTTTATTTCTGTCCCAGAAATGTTTTGTAACATGTACCAGTGATATTGCCACGCGCGTCGCCGGGCGAGCGCGAGGCCGAATGTTTACCGCGCTTGGCTCTCGCGCGGAGCCTCCGGGTTCGATTCCAGGGAGCGGACTCCTTTTTTATTTAATCTTTCAACTTGACATTCTCGCAAGTTTGAGAGCCTTGTGGTGTGATCGAGTTACGAATATTCTACGCCGAATGTTCGATAAAGCCGCGAGGGTAGAAAAGGTGCTCCGCGTGACGGTAGCGAAAGCTTGCGCTGGAAACCTCCTTGGTTCGATCCCCACCGTCCCCGCTTCTTGCGATCTGGATGAGTTTCGCACCGGCACGCGTTAATGTAATCACTACTGCGTGATGCACGTTAAAACCCCCAGGTTAGCGGTTGTATTACACTGGCTAAATTTCTCATCTACAGCTAAGCGACAGGTCACCCGTTGAGGCGTACCATCACCAAGAGCAAGCCAATTTTTTTCTTTTTTTGGTCCCGTGTCAGTCTCGTCCCAGCGCTCGATCCTGCTGTTTCGCCGACGTCGACGCCTGCGACGCTAGCCTTTCTCTATTTTGTTTCGAGCACAAGTTCGCCCCATTAAACGCTCAGTTTGCTTCAGTTATTCGCCGCCTCATCATTTGGCAGTCGGGAAAATATTCTGCGCCTTGTTGTTGGACTGCAGAAAAACGCCCTACGATGTTGTTTTTTTCCTCTGTTTTGTGTTGGTTCGCGCTAATAAACATTCTGGTAAACCAGATTTGCGCAACTGTATAATTGTCGTTGTCACTGACGTCGATTTAAATTACGCAATGCGGAAGTATCTTCAAAAGTAATTACACTTCTAAGTATTTGTATACTACTCAAAATACTTTACAGTGAAAGTAACTTGAGTAGTATTTTAAATACTTTATGAAGCAGGTATTTAGTAACATAACTTAAATACTTTTATCGAGTATTTTGTCCAACACTGGTTTTGTTCTGCCGGGATGGTCTCTTCGGGCCGGGACCGCCAACACCCCACGAGGTGAAACTGGCCGGCCTAAAGTCCAGATCCGTCCAGCACGACGAACTCGCCGGGGTTGTGGCCTCGCGCTGCCAGTGGCAGGTCCTTGCACGCCGATGCCGGTGTCCCACCCAGTTCGCGGGGACCCCAGAAAGTTCCCAGGGGCTGTGTTCCAAAATTTACTGGATCCGACTCTGGAGTAAAGGTTTCGTGCCGTGGCGTTTCAAAACTTATTCGAGCTTACTCGATGACGTCAGAACTCGCTTTCCAGAAGCAATCTGTTTACTCCAGAGTAATTACTCCCGCTACCCTCCTCGATCGGTGGGTAACGTTGGATCAAATCGAGTAAATACGTCACGTGATCTGTTCGTCGTTTGCTTTCTGCGCCGACAGTCGCCAAGGCTCGCTTGCTCCGCAGGCTTTGGTAGCGGACGTTCGAAATGACAAAGAATGAGGTGCAGCGATTTATGCGTGGTTTTTGCGATTTACTGTTTTCAACCTGGAATTGACTGCATTACATCCAGGCCGTGCATCTTCACCGAGAAGGTATACTTGTTAACGTATCATAAAAGTGCAGCTTCTCCGCATTCTCGTCCTCGGCGTTGGAGGGAATGCCGTATTCTCACGTTCAGGGTTGAAAATGTTCGAACGCAGTAAATGATGAGGTAGTATTTTTGTGTCCCCAAGGGTATGTGTAATGAGAGGATAATACTAGCAAAGCAGTGAAGGCTTCGAAGATTTCATGTATATGATCAGTCAACAAGCCCCCCTCTCTCTCCCTCCCCAAGAAATTGCCTA